TAACATGCTAATATCCTACATGGGATCTCTAAGGTGGTAAATGCGGTTAAACTCGGTAGAAAGAGACAATTCATGCAGTTCAATCATCAATGATTTCAAGTCAACGCACTAATCTTTGCTATCGCTGTCCTCTGCGAAGTGGGGGCGCCGGCAGGTAAATAATGTCACAGTTCCCGCCAGTTTTTTTCCTGTTTTATCTCAGAGTTTAGAGCCACAAGAACTAATTACAGAAACTCACAAAAGGATGGGATTTTTTTGTGCATGAACGTTCATCAAAGAGAGAAGCAAACATGATAAATAATAAATGACAATCAAAGTCTTAGTTATTGATGGTTACATAAAGAAATGATCACTCGCTTTATGATGACAAACCATGGAATCAAATGATTGGAACATCTTTTCCAGMAAAATACGTTCTGCGATGTCTTACTGAGCAGCTTAGTTAATCTCTCTAGTAGTCCCACACCAGCTAATTGTCCCTTAGTCATTTGGAAAGTCTCTTGCGTTTTGTGAAAGAGTCGGGGAAACGTTTTTTAATCGYGTTCAAAGGTTTATCGTTTTTTCAAACTGTTTTTCAATCTGTGGTCTTCGCAGGATTTTACTCGTTGTTTTGTTTAAAGTTTAATTATCATTGTGTTCCTTTAATTTTTTAACTGTGATAATTTAAAAATGATAAATACATATATACTGATGGAATTCCTGGTCGTGGTGAGACGAGGATCGGACTGAGAAATCTGGCATTTACAATTATATAGGTTTGATGAAACTTTGCTAAATTGTCACATGATATTGAAGGCCATATTTTGAAATACACACTACACCTTAGMAAAAAAGAAAGATTGCTAGTAAAACACATATAAAATACCAAAATATAGTTACAGATGCCTGAAATGTGCCGCACACGAGTGATATTGACTCGATGAAATCGAGTAGAAAAATGCCTTGAAAAAAAATCACTAAAATTAATGCAAAATGCACCACAATACACTAATAATGCCACAAAGGGAATTAAAAAATGCTATAATAAAAAAAAGAAAAAGAAATCGAATATTTCATTATATTTTTCATTTACAAAATAGTTAGTTTTGTTTAACTTTACACTCAATGTCGTAGAGRCTGTGAATWTGTCGAAAATGAGCTCCAAAACTTTAAGAAGAAAAACATCGTGCGATATTTCATGATAACTTCACTCTTATCTTTTAAAGTTTAGACCATCGTCATGACTTAAGCTGTAGGCAAACCATGATCTACTAAATTATTAAATACATTGATGGGAATCGCAATCAGTGAAGGCATCAAATACGCACAGCCAGAAACAAGTYGAATTGTTTTTACCTTATCGGTCAAAGAGAAAAGCACARAAAAGCTGTTTCTGTCAGTTAATCGAATAACTATTCCTTGGATGTGACTTTCAGATAARAAAAATGCTTTTTGGAGTTTCACATTCTTACACTATTAAACTGAATCTTTCCATRATGTTGCTTTCAGTTTATAGACTAGCTCTTTTCACCTCTAACTCGAAAGGCATAATCTCATATAGATTGTATATTTAAGACTGTTTTTCGTCCCGCATCAGTTCACCAAGKRGKAGGGGACTTTCCTTTGCGCGCGCCTCGTTGGCATCTATTTCATTAAATCACAAATTGTTTTATTGTGCTTCTGTCCTCCATTTAAAGATGTGTTTTTTTACTTTTGAGAGTAAAAGGTTCAATAAAACACGTCAATGAAGGCAACTATTGTTTTTAGGCTATGATATCATGTTGAATTTTTACCAAGTTTGATTAGCCTTCACGCAATATAACTACAACCATACCGAATATCCGAAATCAATGATCGCAATGCCTGACCAAAAAAAACAACAACAAAACAGTCCTTTTCTTCCAGCATGAGAGAGGTCCGTAGTTATTGTCCGTAGTACTATTGAACAATCCCTAATGTTTTCTAATAAGAACTGTGAAACGTTCGAGTTAGTCTGCTCAGAGAAATTCCTACACTGCAAGGAAACTATTTGTTCAATTTTAAAACTGTATTTTAGGAAAGAGTCATTTTTAGATATTGTCATTTGATCAATGAGAGAGTGGAATTAAGTATGGAGCTWTTAATGAATTATTCGCGGAGCAAACACAAGATAGGACTAATGGTATTGAGTAAGGTCACAAAATTGCAGATCTAAACTAAAAACCACCGTTGAAAATACTCTTGATTAAAGTCCAGATAACCGAGGTTGTTATCACCTTGTGTTTGGGTTAAACTTCTCACGAACAATCATCCCGCTTTAAGTCACCGCGCCTCGCCCTGCAGTTCTAGAACACAACCATGACAAGCGCATCAGATGTGAAAATAATTGAAGGCAAGCAAGGATTGCACGAGTACCATTGTTCAACAATCAGATACTCTTTTATGTAAACAATTGCCTTTTGAAATTCATGTTCTTTTCATCCGTTGCGGTTCAAACTTATAAATGTAATGTGATGAATACGATGGAAACAGGTATTTTACTAGAAAACAATTAAACAACTAACACACAATGACAAATTCGATTTTGATTTTGTTTTAAAAACTTGTTTTTGAGTGAGTTAATTGATTCAAATGTGCAACGCCAACTAGTCTATGATCCCCCACGAAAACCAAATAGATATTATTCAAAGAATGTTTTTTTTCCTGTGTCTCTTGTGCCGAGTTTTTAGGGACTATTTCATTTTTTTCTCGATCAGTTTTAATGGCCTTTGACTGGAACAAACGACCGTAGCAGGCGTGAGACCGATTAAAAGTCTCTGTAATAGATGGTTGGCAAACATCTGGCTTGTATGTTACTCCCTTAATCCTGAACAAGAATGTTTTACAATGAATATACACCATGAACAAACCCCAAAACTCCTCGAGAATCTTATTCATACGATACTTTACATGCAGTCTGTGTTTAAACAAGTGAATCTCAGTAATTTGTTCAGTGATTTTGAAGGATTGATGAATTATTTATGCACGATAAGTCATTTGACGTGGTGGTCGCAGAGAAGGTGAAAGGGCTTTAGATTCAGGTTGCCTTTTTTCTCATTCTACCTTGGCTAGTCAGTAACATTAGAGCACAGACCTTTGCCTTTTATAACTATTATAAACAACCAACCACAGAAAGGCTTGCTCGGGATCGTTTTACCGCGTTATTGAGAGATGTTTTGAGCTGCAAGTTGAGATGAATGTTTGAGATAGTGCTAAAACTGTCGTAAAGTGGTGAATAAAGAATGCTTGGCGAGGTCAAAACGGAGTCGTAACAATCATTAAATTACCACATTAAAACACAAAATATACTTGGGACTTACAAACTTTTACCCCCTAAAAAGCTCCCACTTGGAATCCTTTTTCTGAACGCAATTATACGAAGCGCAAAAACGTGTCTCTTTTTAGAATTTCGCAAGTGGAGCTGGGTTCATTTTTTTTTTTTTTTTGCTTTTTTTTCTGTGATTGTTTTAAGCGTTATTTTAGTAGTTAACAAGTTGCCCTACTATTAATTCACATCTGGGCACATTATACGCCTTACACCAAAACCCTTAAGAACACATTTACTACAAATTAGTAAGGTTCATTAGATCTGCATTGCCTTATCAAAGGATTGGCAAGGTGATCTKACACAAGATACTAGATCTTTGGGCGTCTTTTTCTCAATCATATCACAAGAAACAGACTTGGATGAACTGCTTTTGCTTTTGTGATCAAAACTTCTCACATTCCTACAAAGGCTATTTCTTCTTTCAAAGGATTTTTTGTCGGTAGTTGTTGTTGTATTTAGATAATGAACTTTTTGTGGCTTGCTGTTATTCTTAGAATGATCCGCAACCTTGACAGTTCAAGTCAGTTTTTTCAATCTATAATAAATAATTCAGWGACTGTAAACGATCATACCAAGTTTAGAATTTTAAAGGGCCAAAAAGGGGCATTAGCTCGCCCTTAAGCTGGTCAACAATCTTGTGGCTTTGGACAAGCTGAACGGCGTTTTCYAGTTGAATTGTCAGCACTCTGAAGTAACGAGTTGGTGTGTAAACATAGCACGAGTTAATTAGATAGAGTTGTTTAACAGTAGCAAGACCACGGTTCTTTGATATCAGCCAATCAGAGCTGATAGTTCATGACATCATTGATGGCGCTTGTATCAACATCTGGACCTAACCTGGCCAATAAAGTCACGTGACAAGCCTATGATAAAAACGATGACAAGCTTTAGGTGTGGGTATAGTGCTACCACAAGCYCATCAAGATCACTTGGAGACGCACGGTAAAGATACTAGCTAAGGTAAGGACATATAGAAACATCGCCTGCTTCTGTGCCGCACTCTATTAACGCTCGTTYTTAACGAGGTCGCGCGGACATTATTGCAACATTACAACTACTTCCTKAACTAWTAAGYTCTTTGGTTCTTYCCTGGTTTAGTTTTAATCTCCGCCATAAATCCAGTGATTTAGTAAAGTTTTTTCTATGTCCGTTCATAGGTTCGTTCTGTTGTCAGTTAACAGCCTTCAATCATAGCTACACATCCACAATGAATCRTTGACTGGTGAATCTAGTTAGTGGTCAGTGCACATTTACATAAATACTTACATGATGCGCTCGGCTATACAAMAWTTTTTKKTTACCTTAACTCAGCCCTTGTTAATCAAACTTCTGTCGGAATTAGCTTCAGTAACAAGTATAAAACTTCACTCTGGCACAGTGCTTAAAGTACTTCTTTTAAGCGTAATAAAAGTAAGGTTGTAAGTTTCTTACTAATTGATGTGAAATGCTTTTGAATGGTGCTTTAGAGACGGTTTCAATGTCAGTGTACTACAATACAGTGTAAAAAATCAATCTGTTTACATCTTATTTGTTATTTGTCTTGTTCTAGCGTATTCTGATCTACTTTTAGTTTCAAAAGCTATAATGCTTGTTAATACGTCTATTTTTTCAGTGTTCTGATATTTCGGTATAAAATTGTTTCTTTTGAAGYTTCTGACTCGAAATGCGCGGAGTGRAGAAGACCGAATGAAAATTTAAACGAACCGTAATCAAGATTAGACAACTTGAAGARCTTAAAACTGAGAAAGAAATAAGGTACATTGGGCAAATACACGAACGATTAAAATCGTTACAAGCGATTGAAACAGATTTGTCAAGTGCATTTCTTGAAAAGTTATCAAGTTAATTCTACTCTTCAAACGCTTTTGCCTGCATCGTCTAACCTAATGATATGACTTATATACATAAGACTTAATAAGTAGTGTTGAATTGTTGTTGTTTTTTCTTTTCAAACACTTCGAGTGTTTTGGTCAGCATAGTTCACCATGTTGAACTAAGACTGTTGCCATGCCAAATGACGCAGTATTTAATAACTTCACCGTAATGATATCCAAGTGTTTAAAACTCTGTTTGAACAGAACATGAAGAAAACTAATCTACTGTTGTGTTGAATTCTTTTGTCTCGCAGTACAACACGTACAATGATCAGATTTGACTCTCTAAATTTAACTCTACATATGCCCACTCAACGCCCTTAAACAATACGTGAATGACTTGCCTTTACACCCGTTTTGTCACAAGGTCGCGATGATGCTTTAAAGACCAGTAGACTTGCTTAATGAAACAGCTTCTATTTGATAGGCAGCATGAGTGTTAAAGTTAATAGTYTTTAAACTTTAGTATGACGCTAGAAAAACGTATTTATATACACCTTTAAATAACTGCTATTATCGATGAACTAGGTGTTAATTATATGCCAAAGGATGTCTTTTAAAGTATTATTTTCAATTTAAAACGCTTARAGGTTCTTTGTCTATCAATTCTGTGTTTATAAGCAACCGTTAACACTTTTTTGTGATTGTTTAGACAATTCTTAYTAAACACCCTATGTCTTTATGATCCTCTYTCTGTACATGAGYCTCTTGAATCATYTAAAGCCYGAGATCAGATTAAAATTCTYGTTAGCACTACGTTTATTGGAATTYTGATCAGAGCTGCAGGTATATTCTTACTGTAATTTGATACCACTTTTAATCAAAATTAGGTATCCTAAAGAATTTTTTTTTGTTGAATTTATTGAAATAAAGTAACTTGATGTACCAAGATAATTGAGTTAATATARGTTKATTTGTCTTTTTCAGCTACACTAGTTAACTGASCCAGAAGGAAATCCCACATGGATTACACAGATCAAGTGTATTACGTCCAAGGGTTCACGCAACATGAAATTGACAACGCCTTATATGGTTATATCAGAGGATTCACTGGAAACTCCTCAACTGCGCATGCTCTRTCWGATATTGAGTTCCAAGATGGTTTCAATGGTAAGAGATTCGTAGATGGCAATGTGTAGATTAATTGCTACTTGTTGCAGCTCTGATACAATGATGTGTCAAACATGATATCACTACAGAGCCATTATAATAAATACTCATGGATGGTTCTAGCATTGCTGGAAAAGCTAACCGGTTTTCCTTTAATGTTTTTTTTCCAGATAACGAAAAAGAGCACGGWCCCAGACCTCTTCAGCCAATAAATAGAAACTGGTTTCCATGGCTACATCAAATGCCSTTAAGTCAAACACATCCATATTTGGACAAGCAAAATCCTGACGATCTTAGGGAACCTTCCACGGTCAATTTACCGGAAGGACTTAGACTTGTTACGACGTCACTTCCGGGTGCAGCAGTCAGGGGGGTCTTCAGCATTCAGAATATCATTACCAAGGGTACMCGGTTTGGACCATACACAGGACAAATTGTCAACCCTAAAGAATGCCCRGAGGAAAATAACAATGCTTTATGGGAGGTGAGGATTTCAGTAAATTCATCTTGCGTTACACATGTTGTGTGACATAGATAATATCATTTATTTGAATAACTTGGTAATATAAATGCAAACTACAAACTACGTATAAATATGAAAAATACAACCAACAAAGATCTTTTAAAATATAAATGMAGTTATTGAAAACGTGGTGAACAGGCCTACATACACAAATACCGAATCATGGTCATTGATTATTATTACTGAATATTTATTATTATATATTATCAAAAGATATTTCAAGACGGCGAACTGATTCATTACATCGATGGAAGCAAAGACTCCAGTAAYTGGATGAAACTAGTCAAGTGCGCAAGGCATGATGGGGAGCAAAACCTCGTCCTTGTTCAGGAGGGGAATGATCTCTATTATGAAGTATCAAAGGATATTTACGAGGGTACAGAACTGCTTGTYTGGTATGGTGATCGATATCTCAAATACATGGGGATACCAATAACTATGAAGACTAGGATAGCAACACTTGATAGCGAGAACARTAACGGCATAGGTATGTAAAACATTACATCATCTTGCTATTTCTCCAAATGTATTTGTTTCATTCCTCCATTCATCTATTTTCCACTCAGTCAAATCATTCATWCAATTCATCCATTCATTCAATCCATGTATCCCTACATCCACATTCATTTAATTAACTATCAATTTTTTTCTCTCGTTCATTTATTCATCAATTTTCGCATTCATTCGTTCATTTGTTTATGGGATATTTCAACATTTCGATCCCTACCTCAGCTACCATGAAATGTAATMTTTCAAGAGACAATGTGCATCAAAGATTCCTAAGTGTAGTTTCATGTTAATACATGCCGATGTCTAATATAGAGACTTTATTCTACAGATGGAGACAGCTTTGCWTGTGATCGATGTGGTAAAGTGTTCGCTTACAAATACTACCGTGACAAACATCTTAAATACACTCGCTGTGTTGATCAAGGAGACCGGAAATTCCCTTGCCACCTGTGCAACCGTTCTTTTGAAAAACGCGACCGYCTGCGTATCCATATCCTTCACGTGCACGAGAAGCACCGACCACATCAGTGCAAAGAGTGCGGTAAGAAGTTCTCRCAATCTTCAAGTCTAAATAAGCACCTAAGAGTACATAGTGGAGAGAGGCCTTACAAGTGTCCTTACTGCAGTAAAGCGTTTACCGCGTCGTCAATTCTAAGGACCCATATTCGTCAGCATAGTGGTGAGAAGCCATTCAAGTGCCGTCACTGTCGGAAGGCGTTTGCTTCACACGCGGCACATGACAGTCACGTCAGACGAACGCACACCAAAGAAAAACCTTGTCTCTGTGAATTTTGTGGAAAAGCGTTTGCACAGTCGTACGAGCTCAAGTTCCACTTGAACATGCACACCGGAGAGAAACCATACACKTGCGATCGCTGCGGMCGAGGATTTTCCAGCCCCTCGTCACGTGACAGGCACCGAGCAAATTTCGATTGCACGACACGTAAGAACCGAGCACCGAAAATAATGCGAAAAGACGGCGAAGGCGGTGATTATGAGTACGACTGTAATGAAGTRCATGAWAGTGGACTGGAAACAAATAAGCATGAACGAAACCTTATTGTCACGTGATACTTTACATGATGAATCACGTGATGAGTGACGCAATGGAATTAAAGTGATGCTATTTTATTGGTTTGAATTACTTTTATTAGAAAATAAAAATTGGGAATTTCTATATCAATCGTTAAGCTGAACACATGAGATATTATTTGACTGTAAATATAGAATTATGTATGAGTCTTGTCATATAAATATCTGTAAATAAGACACACAACATTTGTTTGTAAATATTGATGAAAATTGACTTATTAAAAACACTACATCTGTGCAATGAAATGTCGTAGCTACAATTCTTATTTAGTGAGTATTTCAGTTCAAATTATATACAGAAAGGGTGAGCGCAAATCCATGAAATTGYTCAAAATCATCAACGACGTAAGTAATGCTGAATTTGCACTTAAATCTTTGAATGACTTTGTATTAAACAATTGATTAAAATTGCACAAATTGGTACAAAAATAGTAACATTTCACGGATTAAGCGCGCTCACGATCGCAATTTTTCATCAAGTGTAGAAAATCATTTACTTTCAAATCACAATTTTTTTATTATTGAGAAGAAATTGATTGTTTAGTTTCAAATATCATAAATTGATAAATAGGAATTATTTGTTTCCTTCTAGTCCTTCTTATGCTATGAAATTGAAGGCTTATTCAAAAATTCAATGTAATTATTCAAAGCTCAATTCAATCTTYGTTTATCAAGAGTCTTTTTGATCAAAACAAAAGAAAGTCAAACCTGAAGACTAAACAAGGCAYCATGGGATGTCTGTAAAGCAATGGTCACTGCTGACCASCATGTATYAAATGCTCGTTTCATGTTCTAAAGTATTTTTGATATTCATGTTATTATTTGATTTATCTAAATATAACAAAGGTAATGTACTTCCATCTATCACGTGACGTTCTTCAGCTGAGTCATCATCACTATCRTTAGTAAGAAAAGAGTCTGTTCGACGCGGTGACGATTCATCATCATCATCAATATTTGTCGATCGATTKGACATRAATCCGTCTGAATGAAATGATGTCGATCGTGGATAACTGCCTCGTATATTCTCCGTACTAACCTCAATCCAATCRCTTTGTCCTTCAAATGTTGGGATWACAATAGTGAAACTTAGACTATCCCGTAACCTTGATCTGTGCGCACATTGACATAAGTCACATGACACGTTGAACGTCTCAGAATTTTCATGCTCTAATCGATCATCCTTCGGTAGCGAACATTGCTCGCAAAGATTCGAGYTATCAGATCTTGACTTACTTGGCGGTCGCAAAACTTGCATTTTGGTCGCGTTTGAGGGCATACTGTACGAACGAAGTCGGCTTATAACATTTTCATATCCATTAACGCTTCCTTTACCTTGAATATGCATTGAATTAGTCGACCTTTCTTGGGTGCTCTCAGTGTTTCGTGAACTAATGCTGTCATTATGTAAGGCATCAGTCTCGTTCTCATGCTCAGGAAGGTCTCCTAGYTTTRGTGATCGCTCGTTACGACTGATTCGTCTCTCTCGACTAATTTTTCTCTTSGAGTACCTGGAGTTCCTGTCATCATCGAGCGTTGATTTCCCTGATGATGCAATGCTCCAGCTTCTGACGTCAGCCTTWACGGTACTGTTTGTTCGGCTACAAAGGCTGGTAGCGTCTTCAGAAAACCGCGGGTTACGCTTACGCACTCCTCGTCGTCGAAGTGCATCACGTGACATGGCTGTCGTCAGAGAATCAAAATGAAAACGTGCTTTCTTTCTTGGTAGCTTCAACCTTGCCTGAGCATGCGCATAATATAAGTTAAAATTACTGCCAATGACTGAAATAGGCAAAGCAACCATCAGAACACCGAAGACTGCGCATGCGCCGCCGATGATTTTTCCTCCCCATGATGATGGCGTCATGTCTCCGTACCCAACCGTTGTCATGGTGATAAGAGACCACCAAAAGGAGTCTGGGATGGATCGAAACTTGGTACTTCTATCGAAACTTTTCTCCACGTAAAATATAACTGACGAGAAGAGGATGACGGGAATGAGGAGGATGATAAGGAGGAGGAACAACTCGTACGAGCTTGCCTTTAGAGTATGAAGTAACACTTGAAGACCATAAAGCAATCGAAAAAATCTAAACAGACGAAGAAGACGAATCACAAGAAGAGCGTCTGCTAGTCGTATGTCTCCACCAGTAGCTATTTCCTGCAGGATACGAATGTAGAACGGTATGACGGACAACAGATCRATCCAAAACGAGAAACTTTGAAAAAACTTGCGTTTGTTTGGACAAAAAATAATCCTTGCTACAAGTTCAAGCGTGAACCATATTCCACAGACGTGTTCGATGACTCCAAATATACTGTTAGCGAGCTTGTGGGCATGGGTTGTTGGCTCCGAGAGATCAGGTAGAGTCATTGCACACGATGCAGCGACTGATAAAACGATTAGGATGACTGAAATAATAGAAAAGACCTGAAATAAACAAAATATCATTAGTTTTTAATTTCAATTCAGATAATTTATGTGATCAATGATTAAAACTCTATTCTATACTATAGTAAAAGATGGCAAAAGATATTAAAAATCGAACGGTGCCTGCGTTTGCCATGACATGGTTAATAGAGAAGGGAATGGTTTGTACTGCGTTTGTACATCTGTACGTATTTTGAGATTGAATCAGTCAAGACCGTGCACAACTTTTTTCTTACGGACAACGAGAAATTKCAAAATGAGTGAACATAAAAACTCTCTATGAAATTATGAAATGAAATATTCCATTTAAAGAAATAGTCAGAAGAATATTTTTCGCTCTGTTTATTCAAATGGTATGGCTAAAACAATAGTTAAACAAAAAGATTGTGCACGGTCACGCTTGGAAAAAAAATAGGCACTCGAGGACTGCATGTGACTCAGGCCATTAAGAGATTTAGTAAGCTTAATACACTATCTTCAGTATATAACGTTTTCTGAATTATCTGTATACGCTGCAAGGAACTRGAAGCATCACGTGGCGATCAATCATTACGTTGCCTATAAATTCACAACAGGTGTCGATTCCCAGGGGCCAGCACTATTGTGATTTGATCATTCCTCCCGTGGGGGCCTGACGCGGGGCGCACTGTTTCCATGCCTACAGTAAACATGTCCGTCTGAAAGAATCTGAAAAGGGATTTTAATCCACGACATGGAGTTCTTAGAGCTTTAATTTAGCTGTAGTCAAAGACATCTTTCTGTATCTGTTGACTTATTCATAACTCATATTAATTCTCGAACGTTTTCTTCGATAAAATGTATCGATGTATTATCATGATTATAGTTTTGCAATAAAACCCAAAGATACGGATTATCATTCATTCTCTTCAATTGTTAACGTTCCAGCACTATATTTATATTCAATAATTATTTGATAATCAATATTAATCCATTTGTAAACTTTTATATCATCAAGAACGAAAATGTGGAACGTTCGAGTGTAATGCTGGAGCTTTAGAGGTCTTTAATTGTGTTCCCTTGAACCGCGGCAAATCTTTGGCAACAGCTAGTATCTGCCTGGTCTGTAAACCACTTATGTTAAGAATTTTAAGAGAWTTTGTGCGTGGTGTTTATCCGAATACTAGTAATGTCWGTCTGATATAAGAACTGTACACCTTTTCCTGTTATGATTTGCAAAACAAAAASGACAATTATGAACAGCTTGGTGAAAGGCGTCACAATACATCGAACATCGGTATTCAGCCGCAAACCAGCAATCAGCACCCACCCCACCCCCATCAAATAATAAACCATTGAATAATGATTATGCAAACCCTGTATCGTTTGATTAATTCCTGAGCTGAGCTCTGATTGGCTCGCTGATCCCTAAGGATTTTGGTGACGTCATATATTAGCATAGAACTTCACCGAATAGACTACCCCAATTAGATATCAGATATCTAYAAGTGTCTTCATAGTACGATGGTCTAAGAGGGTAGCTAAAGGTATGCTCTAGTGGGCGGCTACCCCCTCACTCCCTGGCCTTTTGGTTAAGACTAAGTTTTATGTTCACTCGGGATAGCGTGGAAGGGCCGAAATCTCTAACCGTAACGTAAGCCGATTCGCCGCCTCAGCTTCATAGAATGTCTCGGGGGAATCGTCCCATCTTTTTAGCTTTTTATTTTCACTTTTTTCTTATKTATTCAGGGGGGTACATCTTCTCCTGAAGTGAAAGTTCTGAGTTCGAATCCTGCTGCTGAAATTTCTCTTTTCTGCTTGTGTATTTTTTCATTTTTGTTTGTTTCTTTTCTTCTTTCTTCTTTCTTTTTTGTTTTTTTCTTTCTTTCGCTTTTTCTTTGCTGTTGTTACTTCGTTTGTTTTTCTCTAGAGGTTTTTTAAACATTTTTAATTTTCAATTATTCGCAAGGAACGCCTGCTACAACTTGATGGTTATCGGTTCGGTACTCAACAAGATGACATAGTGACGAGAGGCCCCATAAGGCCTTTCGTTTCAAAAAGTGCAAAAAAAAAAAAAACCTTCAATAAAAGGCTTCCTTACCATTTCCCTCTATAAACTATCGTCATCAGGACAAYTTAATTATCGGAATAGATGCTCCYKATTACGCATGCCCATYGTYCATTCAAACGCCGTGTTAATTTTAGACAGCGTAAAGTTAGCTTTTACTCTGTACTCGTATTACTGTCAATTTTCCAATTCAAGCTATTAGGGTTAAGCGTATTTAATTATATAAATAGCACGAGTTAGAATATTTTTTTTAGCCACTCATGCCCCTTAGCTAAAGTGTGAGTGTGGTCTGTACCCACACGAACTCTTAATCATTGATAATAACATGTTTTTAGACCACCGCTAAGTATATCGTGAATAATGTCAGTAAAAATAGACTCAACTAGCGCATTGAAATCATAAAAAAATACCCGAAAATACTGGCTATGACGGATCGACACTACAATTATAGATATCTACTGTGCCTTATTAGACAGCAAGCACTAAAAGCTTGAAAAAATTCAAATTAAAAAGAAATTAATGGTCACTTGTA